AAAATAATTTGCAGTGTGATATCATTTATTTTCATCTGAGAAATTATCTAAAAAAAGGTAATCTTCATTAAAGTATTTTTAATTCGTCTACTATCCTTTTATAGCATTGTATATCAGAGTTGTCTCTATTGGTATAAGCTTTATAATGTTGGTCAAGAAGCCTTTTAGGGTATTGAAGTGTTTGCTTATAACATTTTTTTCAAGCCTATGCTACATTTTGTCACAAATAAATGTAATTTCAGTGTAAGTTGAAATGAATTTTTTAAATTATGCTAATTCTTAGAAATCTAATTTTGGTAATGACAGGTGTTTCTAGCATTCATGTATCTTGGCATACATTTTGGAGTCAGAGAGTGTAAAATGTTAATGGTTACAAATATCTTCCCATTTTTGTTATGTTACAAAAGTAACATCAGGTGTATATTGAGAAGTTAAACTACAGGACAAAGGTTTGTTTTTCCTACAGTTTTGCCTATTTGTATATGGTGTTTTAGCTTTGTCCTTATTTTTATGTTACAGGTCACAAATACATGAAAACAATGGAAAGTTATTCCTTTCTTCAGGTACACAGATACTCCAGGACAATGCAGCAAGAGAGCATATCCACCAGTCAGGTGAACAGAAACTTGAAACCTCAAGTGAATGCAAATTTTCTGAGTGGCTTAATGCAGAAAATTCTGAAAGAACAGGTTTACTTTCTCACGATGATAATTCTGCTCCTGGAAAGAGAATGAACAGTAATGAAGTAGTCTCATCATCTTCATTGTGGTCTTCACACATGAGACCTGTTGGGTTAAAGCCAGAAACTTCTCCCCTCATCCAGCAGCAAACTATGATGGAACAATGTTGTTCTGAGAACTCTCTGTCCAGGGAACATATAATTCAGTCAACCTACAGGTCTGATGATTGTCAGATGTCAAAATTTGTTAGCCATAATCCACCGCCTCCTTTGCCACCAAAGAAATATGCTATAACCAGTGTGCTACAGTCAGAGAAAAATAATCCCACACCTAATGTCAAACTTACAGAGATGTTTAAAGCTAATTCTTGTAGTCTTCCAAAACACAGTTTAAGTTTGGATTCAGAATCAGGTTCAGAAATGGGTACATATGTGCGTGATGAAAGACTTAAGGAAACATTTCAAGTAAAAGAGGCTGTTGGCAACACAGCAAACCACCTATCCAGCTTTTCAACTAAAGATTTTCAGGCAGATTTGGGTACAATTGTTGATGCATTTTGCCAACCAGAAATAGACTCTAGTTCTACCTGTCCAAATGAGACCATTTCATTAACTACCTATTTTTCAGTTGATAGCTGCATGACTGATACATACAGACTGAAATACCACCAGAGACCCAAGCTCCATGTTCCAGAGAGCAGTAGCTTTTGTAATGATAATGCACTATCTCAGAGTGAAAGAGGGCTGGCACCTGTGTTACACAACAGTCTTGGTTCAAACTGCCCTTCTGAGCAGAGGTATAAACCTAGTATACACTGTAATAGATAAGTGATGAAACTGGTAAGCTTATACTTCTCAGAGGCCACGAAAATATAATAGGAATCGACTGACCAAACCTGGTGATATATGAAACTAAAACCATGGCATTTCTAAAGTTATTAATCACATTAATTTTCTATATATATATTTTGTGTTGATCAACTTATTGGGTATTTTAGAAATTCCCTTTGAACAGTTTTGGTGTGCCTGCAAAACATAGAGGGTATGCAAAAAGTCACTGCTGCAGTTAAATAAAAATGTGATTTGTTCCTTTGTATGTGGCTGGTAGACCCATAAGTATTAAACTAACCAGTACTCACATGTATAGATGGGTAAGCTATGCTAACTGAAAATACCAGGTGGTACATAGTTTGTGTAGTCAAAGCAGTATTTGCTTTATGAAGAAGCACTTTCTAATGGGTAACCAACCAAAAGAGGGCTTCACCCATTTGTTTTTGACTTCTGTGATAGTCTACTACCTATGATCCCTTTAAGTGTCTTAAAAAATATCAACACATGATATGGTTATCATATGAATTAGAAGCATATATTCATATGGTATCATATGAAATGATAGCATTTGGAAGGGGGAAGCCTTAATGATAAAGCAGGTTTTTTAAACTAAATTCTTAAGGTCAGAAGAGAAGAAACTTAATTTTGCTCCTGGAACTTCAATCTTCATAATGCCTAGTTAACATAAATTAGGCCTCTCTTATATCATAAACTTACTTCAGGCATGTAAGCTAAAAGTAAGTGAAATCCTTAACGTTAGTGTATTTATGTGTTACATTTTTTCTAATTTTATAAGAAATGTGAAAGGTTTTATTTTGGTTTGGTTTACTTTGGGCTGCTAATAACCAGTGTTAGGAATTAACTTAGGGCCCACTGGGGATCTCACTGTGACTGCCTAAATTTTCCCTGCAATCATCTTAACCTCTCTTTATAGGCTGTCAACCCATTTTAATGATTTTCAGATTCTTGAATCCGAGTATTTCTGGGTTCCAGATCCAATTTCTACTTTCATATAGAGGGTTTAGTATTAATGAAATGTATTAATTTGAGCATCCCTTCCATTTTTCTTCTCTAAACAGTCATTTTACCCTACTTTCATGGAGAGGGCTTTTTTTTTTCTTTAAATAAAAGAATTTTCCATTATCATGATGACCTTCTAAATGAAATTAAGTTACATTAATTGCCTTATTTCATTAGTTGTCATTTTATTTTGTACTAAGTTGGTAAACTTATTGTGGCTAAGTGTTGTATTGTCCATGTAGGAAAATTGAGAACTGCAAAATTAAAAATTTTCTTACATTAATAAATTTTATACATATAACTTAATTCTGTAAACTGATTACTAAACTTAATGTTTGACCAACTCCATAAATTAAAATATCCTAAAATGTAAATGATTAAAAATGAGTATTCCTAGGTAACTATAAAATAATTGCTTGTAAAAACCTAATCTTACCCAGTTAAGAAATCTTGGTCAATTATTGTCTTCCACTTAGAGAAGTTTTTACTTGCCTTTTCTAACCATAACAGTACGTGATTATTACTTTATATTCTCTTAACTTAGAAATACTTGAATATGAACTATATTAAACTTTTATCTTTTAAGAAAGCTTATTTTTAACATAAATTTTAGTATGGAAGGCTTGTAAATACTGTAAAGTTTTTAAAATTGTATTTGAAATATTGTATTTAATTACTGCTTTTATAACATTGTAAAATATTACAAAATGGGTTTCAGCATTTTTAGTAACTTTGAAAAACATTGTCTAGTTTTTTCCTAAGATTTCTATTTGGTCAAGATGTCCAGTTAAAAATGTATTATTTGACACTTATAAACTAATATCTCGTATTTAACAGCAGTCTCATAGATAATGTATTTTCAACTCAACATTTGAGTTGCAACATCAAAATAGAAATATCTCATTTTGGCTATTTTTAAAAGTACTGTCCAGTTGAAACTACCTGAATCATGTAATAGTACTAACAAAACCAGAAACGGTTTTTGTTGATTCAACACTCCAAATATAGATTTGAATATATAATTACTAACTATTCACACGTAAAATAAATTTCTAGAGTACCTAATTTTTGTAGGTGTTTTCTTCTTGTTATAAAATTATGGTAACTTCTGAAGTAATGCAACCAATAATTATTGTAATGTCCAAAATACATATCTTCAGAATGTTCTGTTTTTCTGTGAAATCAGTTTCTTTCGGTTCAGAATTATTTTTAGGATAAACTGATTTTTAAGTTAACATGTTTGGACTTTTCTGTGCATTCATGAATTATGGCTTCCTCTCCTCACATGTTGATTATGTATTTTATGAGAAATGTAAATCAACTTAAAGTTCAAGGGTACTTGGACTATCACTAATCATAAAATGTTATCACTAGAGGCTCCTAAAAGTGTAACTGCAGTGAGGTCTAAAGCAGGGCTCCTACAGGAGTTGGCAAACTTTCCATAGAGCCACATAGTAAATAATTTGGTCTTGGTGGACCACAGAGTCTTTGTAACAAACAGCTACAGTTCTGCCACTGTAGTGAAAGAAGCCATAAATGGTATGTAAATGAACGGCATGTTTGTATTCTAATAAAACTTTGACACTGAAACGTGGGTTTCATGTAATTTTTATATCATGACATAGTCATTTTTTTTTTCAACCGTTTTAAAATGTAAAAATCATCCCTAGCTCACAGGCCAGATCAAAAGAGGTAGTAGGCCAGATTTGGCCCATTGGCCACAGTTTGATGATCCTTATCCTAGAACATAATTTACATTAAGTAACCTTAAAGACCTTAAATAAATAATCCTGTAGTCTCTGAATGTATCCCCATGCCATTTAGGGACTAGATACATGGAGATGTTTCCTAAATTTTCAGGTTCACAGACTCCTAAATCCTAAAGACTTTGCCACAATAACTGGTCAGCCAGTTCATTTCAAATGGTTATTAAAATAATCATTTCATTTATATGAAATTAAGTTTTTGAAATTTACAAAGGAATTTATCAGATTAAAATTTATCAGATTAAAACATTGATGTTATTCTTTGTTTTCATCATAGCAGGTTTGCCAAGTTTTCTTGGTGTCCCATTCATCCTTTAGCCTTACCCAGTTAGTTACCCTTTACCAATTTAGCCTTCAAGTGTGGGTGTTGTAAGAACTCACTATACTTGAGATGGCACAGTAGGTATAATTTCTTATTCATTAGCTGTAGAAACGATTCAGCCCTCCTACTGGAACCATTTTTGTATGCCATTTACAGTCATGTCATAACAGCAAGACCTTGCTACATTCCCTCTGCTAGAAATTTTCAGAATATTCAGTAGTTGTAGTACTAGGCTGATTTCAGGCTCAGAAACATAGTACAAATTATAAAATTTTGTGTATAACCCAACATTAAGCTACATGAGAACTGGTAATCCTTTCCAAACCCTGCTACTTACCAAGTAATTTGTTTAAACAAATGCAAAATCCAAAATCAGACCAAATTTAGCTACATAATAAACATTTATTGGACAAAATTATTAGCAAGCAGCAGAAAAACAGTTCATACTGTTTGGTATACTCAATAAAATTTCAGTTTTGTGTTTCTTTAGATGCATCAACCTCTGCATAAAAGGTTCTCTCTCAAGTAGATGCAATACCCTGGATGCATCATTGTTACCTTGTATTGGCAATAGGCAACTAAAATTTTCCAAAATCAGTCCTGGATTTCATTCTAAAGTCATTCTAAAAGAGAGAAGGTATAGAGTTTACCAGATCTATGCCCTATTTCTAAGGGAGGTGAATATCCTCAAAATATTTAGGCAATTCACATGTATCAAATGTCACCAATTTCAACAAGAGCCATTTTCTAACATCCATTACATAAAGGAATATCTGTTATGTAATAGGAATAGCTTCCGAAGGGCTTTTAGTAGCTGCTTTGGAAGTGTGACCTTTCTAATTAAACACTAGCTGATCACTCCTAGAATGTAAATTCTTACTAACACTTAGATAAATAAAAGAATGCAAGCTCCATGAAGGCAAAAGATTTTTGTCTTTTTTGCTCACTACCACACCTGGCCCAGAGTAAGTGCTCAAATATTTGTTGAAATGACTTTGTTGAAGTATTTAAGGTACAGACATTATTTAAAAAACAAAACAAAACAAAAAGCCCCATATTTTGGCAAGCATTCTTTATAAAACCACAAGAATAAAAAATGGGTTTCAAACACAGTCCTATTTTAGGGAAGTTCAAGAACTTACAAGGAAGGAAGGGGACATCCAGGTAAGAGGACATGCACAGTTGGATAGTATATACTTTCTCTGGGACTTTATCAAACTGGTAACTGTTAACAGAGGCCCATTTAATTTAAAAATTAAACTGTTACTTACAGCCAGTACACTGTGGGCCTGCATTTTCTGTACAGCTCTAACTCCTTTTTTTCACCCTTGTTTTTAAGTAATTTATTTTTAAATACTTCATCTTAATATTTTATCACATTTTTGCATCATATTAAACCCGGGCTAACCCTTAAACTGTTAAAGGCAAGACATTACCATATTTCTTAATGAATACCCTAAACCTTTACGTATAAATACGTTAATATTCAGCCCCTATAAAGCCATCAGATGTTTGAAAAGCTTTTAAACATGAATCAGAGTAATGTTAAGAACTTAACTATGAATGGGTGAGATCATTACCCATTTAATATAGTCCCCAAAAGGAGTAACAAGAGTATGTAAAATCAAAGAAAAGTTCCCCAGAGTTTGAAATTCTGTTGCACAACCCTGTCTTCTTTGTTCAAGAAGTTTGCAGTCATTTTCAGAATCCACTCCAGGAGTCAACTTCTTAATCTAGACATCAGGCAAACCATTCTGTAAAAACCAAATATTTGTCAACAATGTTTCCTCCTTCCAGATTTTATACTTTAGACCCAATATCTGAAAATCTAGATTGTCTCAGTCACTTTCCTATTCCTAAATGATTTATGTATTGATAAGAGAGAAAAAAAAAGACCTGGACTATTCCTCCCACCGCTTCCATTTTCTTTCTTCTTCTTCTTCTTCTTTTTTTTTTTTTCATTTTCTATCCAGAGCTGAAAACTCATTAAAAAACAAACAAACAAAAAAACCTGTATTTGAGATATCAGTCTCTACCAAAAAAGGAGGGGAAGTAGAGGAGAGTGAAAACTCTACAAATAGTCTGGCAGAGTATTTTATAGAAATATCCACCTCTTCCATTCACTCCACTCAACCCTCTGCCGTCTAATCTGCCACATTCAAGAAATCAGTGACAATGGGGTCTTAGATACAAGGAGGTCATGCCCAAATCTTTGCCAAAATTTTGGGGCGGGGAAAGAAGACATAATTGCCTATCATGGATTGCAAACTCATAAGCACAATGATTGAGAAAAGTTAATTTATGATAAGTCAACAACTCCAAAGTCCAAGAGAGCTCCCTAATGTCCAAATGAGCTGCATTGCTTTTCTTCCACTGGCCCGCCCTTCAACTCACTCCTTCTCTCCTGAACTTTTCCTATCACCTCAGTCCTTGTCCCTCTTGTTGTTCTGCTCCCCAGCGCCTTCTCTACCTTTCCTCCCCTTATCCTCTTCCAAAAGTGTCTTTTCAGAGTCAGTGGCAATGAAAATGGAGAGCAAGGATTTTGCAAGTGGAACCTACAGAATTTTGTGATTAACAGTTGGGTGTTTTGGGATGTGTGGGTGTAAATAAAAGGGGAAAATCTGAGTCCCAGGCTTCTGGAAGGAATACTGAATGAATAAAGTTAACATTTACTGAAATAGGGACACTGAAAAATAAGTACATTTTGGTAAGAAGTTAGTCTGAGTTCAGGCTTAGACCTGTTTGAGATACCTACCTGGCCTACTAGAGGTCAAACTAGTTAATAGTAACAACACCTTTAGTCAAGCGCTTACTGTTGCCAGGCAAAAATGCGAATCGCTTTTAGATAAAGTACTCATTTAATCCTCGCTACACCCCTATGACCTTGTTATTATGGTCCCAAATGGTAAATGGAAAAATAAAGCTCAGAAAAGTTAAATAACCTCTTTAATTTCTTTGTGGTAGTGCAGATACTCAAACCCAGCTCGTTTCATTCCAAAACATAAGAGAAATTATAAAGCCAAGTTTCTTCCATACCTCTCTGAAGACGTTCACTGAGGTGCCAAGGAAGAACACTTTCATTCCAGCCTCAACCCGACCCCAATACCACCCGCCTCTCGACCCCGCCATTAACCAGCCATATATATATATATATATATATATATATATATATATATATATGGCATACCATACTTTGTGGAATTCGGTTACCTTGCTCCCCACACCCCCCAAACTGTGGTGGTAAACTCCCTACCAGTTCAACTTTGCGTTCAGAGTACTCACCATGGTAAAAGATAGACGAAGATAAACAGCACTACATCGAAGAGGATGAAGAGCCAGAGATCCAACCAGTAGGAATGCTTTGGAAACCGGTCGGCCCGGGATTGAGATCGCACTTCGTGGTTCTGCGGCTGCCTCCCAGCTTCATCCAAGCCTCGCCGCTCCCGGAGACCGTCCGGACCATCTTCCGCAGCTGCGCCCGCCTCCATCTCGCACCAGGCACCCCACCACAGACCGAGCAGCGAGAAAAACAAGTACTCTACTTCCGCGTTCACCTTGCCCTAAACTGGCCACAGTCTGACCGCCTGCGCATGCGCGTTCCTCATCTCCGGAAACGGGCCCGGTGCCCTCTTCTACCAACGCGCAGGCGCCGCCCGAAAGTCTGCTGTCTTCGTGACAGCCGGCAGGCTGCTCGGCCACCACCCGGAAGCGGAGTAAGCCGTCCGGCCGCCCGCGGGTTCTGCTGCGCCCTGGGGAAAAGCTGGTTAGACAGGTTTCGCTGGAAGGAAAAGGCGCCCGCCTCGCCAGAAGTCACTATCAAGTCCGGTTCCTGTCAGGTGATGGATTCCACCCAGCCACTCCCCGCGGTCCCCTTTCCTTATCCCTGCTCTTTGGGGTCTCTTATCCCAGGTTTAGGGCCCCCTCTGATAGGTTTTGTTTTGTGTATATAACACGTTACACTTATTTAATCCTGTAAAAGCTATAATGAGACAGACGTCATTATGAGTGTGAGTTTGTGAGGGGGCCAGAGAGCAAATCATGAGAATGTTGCGTGTAGAATAACCCAAAGGTTTGGAAGTGTGGTCCCCTATGAGATTAGAGTGCTAGCAGAAAGAAAATGACTGACCATTGTAAGGGAGGGAAAATTCTCTACCTACCCTCTTTGGGTTTTCAACAGGGTCCAAAAATTAAACTGACATAAGACAGATTAACAGGAGAAATGCACACAAGTTTTATTAATTTTTTAAAAAACATGTACGTGAGAACCTTGGCAGTAGAATGAGCACTCAAAGAATGACCAGAACAGAACGTTTTATACCTTTTAGACAAAGAATCACGTGAGACAAAGGGTTTGGGTCAGGGGTAGCAAACTGTGGAAGAATGACTAGGAAGATAAACATTAGTGTAACAAGGTTGGTTTGCACAGATTTCTCAGCCTGATTCCCCATCTCTGGTGATAAGACTGTTTTTCTTCCTCCTGGTAGAGGGAGGGCACCTTTCCCATGAGAGTTTTATCTCCTGTCAGGAAGAATTCAGGAAAGTCGCAGTGACCCTCTTGCACCTGCTGTTTCTCAAGCTCCTTTAATCAGTATGCCAATTTTAGGGTGTGTATTTTGGGGTGACATGCTCTGAACTTCATTTCCTCTGTCTGAAAATTCCTTAGATGTTTCTCATAAAAGCTGCATTGATGGTTGTGGAAAGAATTGGGTTAGCAACCAAGTGGGGAGGGATCTATCAGCAAAGGAAAAGAAGAGCATAGATTAGAATAAGAATAAATAGGAAATGACAAATCCAAGCACATTTCCTCACACCCCATTAAATCAGTCTCCTGTCCCCGGAAATAGGTCAGTCCAACAGAATGGCTGGACCTCATTTATCTGATGGAGGGCGTTTATCTTGTCTTTCAAAGGGTCAGGTTAGACACTATTTGTCCCAAGCAGTTTACACAGAAGAAGCATTCTTCAGCAATGATTGCATACACTTCTCCTTTTGGACTGTCAGTGTGTCCAGGGCGAGGTACCTTTGGAGTATAACAGAGCCTAAATTATTAACTTCTCCTAGAATGGCTTCCAGTGTTTGTGTGGTGATACTGAACTCTTGTTCCATTTCTATGGAAAGATTTAGAACAGGCTTTCCAACTCGTAAGTTACAAAGCCTGGGAAAAGGGAGGTCAATATTCATAAAAACTTAGAATTGTGATATACAAGCCAGTTTTCTGTAACATCATGTCTAGTGTATTTATGTGGCTCTATTTTAGGAAGGAACCCAAGTTTGTAATTTGGCTGGCATTTAAGATGGAGTACCTGGTTATAGAGAGTGTCAGGAATCTGAGTCCACATCCTCTTGACCATCTAGGTGGAACTCTTTATTACCTTATCATCACCTAAGATAAAAAGACCAGTATTGTTCATGGATAAGGTCAGAATGAAACTTGTGACTTACTAAGTTGGGGTTTGGTGATCTTGTCACCTGTCATGTGGTGACCTGCCCATTTCCATCTTCTGTGTATCCCTGTCAGTCAATAGGAGCAGAACAGATTGTGAAAGATCAGATAGAAGAGGCCTGCAATTAGGCTTTAGCAGCTGTAAGGCTTGGTTTTGTTACGTGACCAGGTGAGTGCAAATTTTGGGGTTCCCAATATGTAATTTTTGGCCTTCGTCGGTGCAGCTGCTCCCAGGTTACACAAGGGTGGCTTTGGAGCCTGCTGTGAAATCTGGTGGTTTGGCAGGTGTTGATAGCATTAAGAGTCAGTAATGAGACCATTTCTGACCTTCCTGAGAGGCTTGAGGATGCTGCCTGTGGAATCAGACCACAAGGTTTGGTTGTAATATTGCCTTGGTATGTCATGTGGGGAAAGTTCAGTACCATCACGATTTTCAGTGCAAAGGGTTTGAAAAAAAGTCTTTTCTAATGTCTGAGCAAAGGACAGTCCTTGAGCTTCCACAGAGATTTTTCCATGTACAACTGACTCACAAAAAGAGAAGAATGATAATTTTTTTGTCCATGGGTGCCATAACCTGTCATGCATCCATTTTCCAGAGTTGGTCCACCAGTTGGTCTTGTTGGCAGGAATAAAAATTAATTTCAGGTTCTTTTGCATGATCTAGATGCTGACATTACCAAAAACCAGAGTGTTTAGTTAATGTGGCCAGGGTTTGGAAAAGTGGTTAAGGGGGTGTCAGGTCTGTGCATAACCTGCTGAGGGAACAGTAAGAGTTAGTAAAGTGAGAACCAGTTTGAAGGACAGCCTATAGTAGAGGATCAGAGGGAAAGTATGTTAGACTGAGACAATCAGTCTCCAGTCAACCTCTTTTTTTTTTTTTTTTTTAAAGATTTTAAAGTAATATCTACACCCAACATGGGGCTGGAACATACAACCCCGATATCAAGAATCTTGTGCTCCACGGTACTGAGCCAGCTAGGCGCCCATCCAATCAGCCTTTTAGTAATTGGCTAAAAGATAGGGGAAGATTTGTTAAAAGGAAGATTTTTTTTTTCTCTTTTTTATTTTCCTCTGGGATAGGAAGACCCAGTGGGGGAGAAAATAGGTGGAAGTGAAGTTTCTTGATCTGTGATCTTGAGAAAAGCTGTCTACTTCATGATTTTGTCTGCTTCTAGGACCTGGGAATTTGCCTGGGAAATCCTTACTTTAAGCTCACCTTAGGAATGGTCTTCCAATTGTCCTGGGAGTGCTGATCCTGGTCTAACTTGGCATGGCTTGTGTGAATCCAGAAGGATTTTTCTTCTATTTTGATAGCAGTGTGAGTTGTTAGTAGTCCTTTATAAAGGTCTTCTCAGTGAGGTGATAATGTGTGTGCTCCTCTAGAAACATCAATGTACATCTAGTCTTCTGGTCAAAAGGGATGGCAAAGCTTGCCAGTCAGCAGAGCCCCTGCCGTTTTTACCTGTTGATGATATGCTCCATTTATACTAATTAGTTCTTGTATATAGCTAGTCATAGTGACATGGAGAACAAAGGCAAAAGAATTGTAGATAAAATTAAATCGCTTTAAAACTTGCAGTCCCTTCACAAATTCTTGAGGCAGGTGGAGTAGGACACTCCTCAAGGAACCCACAACTGCCGTAAGGTTAGTGCTTTGCTAGAGGCAAAAAGCAGCCTTAGCTTGACATTAGTCTGACCTCCAGGATCCTGTAAGTCTTCCTTAATATATGAAAATCCTTTTGGAAACTTCCTGTTTCTCTCCCTCTTCCAACTTGAAGTATATACTCAGTCATTGTTTACAATCACATCGCAGCTCTTGTTTGCCCACGGGCCCTGTCCCCTGCCATAATAAAAATGTATTTTTGCACTGTCTCAAGATTTATTTTTGACCGTTCGCTCCTTGCCCACATCAAATCAATAGCACATTTTTCACTTACACGCCCTATAATGCTCATTCAATCAAGGAATAGAAGGTTTAGAGATGCCAGTAGGAATAGGGTGACCAAACATTATTTCAACAGATGTTATGTATTCTATTTGGAGTATTCCAGATGTTATAAGGTCCAGATGTAGTGCTCCTGGACATTAAATCCAGTTTCTTGACAGATTATTAAAAGTCCTTTTGATGTTTGGATTTTTATGTTCTGTTTGCCATGAGGATTAGGGATGATACAGAGTGTGAAATTTTAATGAGTACTCCAAAGTTTTGCAAATGGTTAATTTCTGCTGTAAAATTAGTTCCTTCATCTGACCCAATCCATAAAGGAATGCCCAAATAAGGAATAATCTCAGTTACTAATTCTTCACCACTGTTGCGGCATTCGTACTTCTGGCTGGGTAACATTCAGTCCACCCACTAAATACACAGATGATAACCAAATAGTGGGAATAGCTTGACACTGGAGATAAATCTATGGAATCCATTTTGGGATTCCACAAGGGGCAATGTGGGCCTTGGAGGATTTCCTGAGGTATGTTGGTTTCATCCAGAAACTTGGAGAGATTAATAAGTAGTAGTACACTGGGAGAGAATTTGGTTAGAAAATTTGCAGATGCCAAGGGAGAATGAATTATCTTTTAGTTCCTTAACTATCTCCCATCTACCCATATGTCCCATCTGATGGAAAATAAATACAAGCCAAAAGGTCAAAAGAAAGGGGACCACAGGAAGTCTGTTTGACCCAATGTATAATCTAATTGTTTGTCACCTTTTTGTATACCTTTGTCTTTTTCAAGATTGTAGGGTATTTGCCTGAATAGTTAATAATATCAGTCAGGGATAAAGGCAGGTTTATAAATTGGGTGGAAAAAGGGAAGGGGTTATATTTTGGGCTGCATATTTAGCAGCCTTGTCAGTCCTATTGTTCCCTGGACATATAGTATGCCAATTTTAGGGTGTGTATTTTGGGGAGACATACTCTGAACTCCTTCACTATACTGCCTGGATTTTCCCTCATGACTCCAATTTTAAATATTTTCTCCCTTGTCACATTACAAATCTTGGATTATTCAGAAAACACAGGTATGTATTAGTGGTTCTTTTAGTGTGATATGAATGAAGATATGACTGTGTACCACTAAATCTTCATAAAACTTCTTCGAAGCTGTGATTCCTCTATTTTATAGA